CCCCGCCAGTCCCGAGTTGCCCCGCCAGTCCCGAGTTGCCCCGGTTGACGGTACATTTACCTTGCTCAGCGAAAAAAATTTCACTCATCGAAAAATTAGTGCATCATCGGTCATCACAAAATTGTGCATAGACTGTCATATATAGAATTGTGCACCAGGCATCATAGAATGAAAAGTAATTGACCTAAACTATGATTTATTTCTTCAAAACATATGATGGTTGTCACTAAAACATTCCTTCCTTTTTCAAGTATGTTTTTCACAATTTTTGTTTTATAGTAAATTCACTTACCCCAATTAAAATGGTGTGAAATTACAAACCATCCTGTAAGCTTACAGATACAGAAGAAATGCTACATGGCTGCTGATATGAAGCTTGCAGTGGACAAGGTTCTTGTCAATGCTCAATGGCATGTCCATGGATACATTAATATCACATCAATAATACGGTAATTAATGAATATGGTAATATCATATCAATAAAGAAAAAACAAGTAAAAATCAAAGAAAATGTCATTTATTTTACCTCTACATCATCTACAATGAAAGAGGACAACTTCAGAGTACTGTTAGTAATAGATGAGTACACTCTGCATGCTTCAAATGTTTGAAATTGAGTTTTATTTCAAGTGTCCCTTTTTAACCCATTTCAAGATTATTTCAAGAGCCTTTTATACGGTATTGCATCTAGTGCCATACAAATAGCATATGGAATTTTTTTAAGATGCCATTCGATAGCCCTCGCAAAGAGCTATAAAATGAGCCTAAACTTGTTTCTGAAATGTTTCATGGTAAGAAGTTATTAACAAAAAATGCTCAAAACCGTCCCTTTTTACCCCATTTGATGGTATCTATTGTTCAAGCCATGACCAGAGCTTTCCTGCCATTTTTGGAGCTGCAAGATTCCTGCTACTGCTAGATGAGTGATCTTCTATCCAATTGGATTAAAACTGTAGGATCAAGCTGTAAGATTCCAACTGTCTAAAAAAGTTGGTTACTTTAAGCTACAAGTTTTCATTCATATGTAAGAAAATTCCAATCCACTATATGAGTGGTGAAACATTTGCTCATCAACATGGCTTAGCAGAAAGCACCCTGGTCTACTGGTCACTGGTGATCTTGACTCTCTGTTACCCTGTTAGACAGAGAGAGTGTGTGACTTTCACACTCTCTGTTAGACCAGGGTTGGTGATTTTTTTTATTTTTTTTAAATCAAAAAAATCAAAAATCGATGATTTTTTTATTTTTTCATAATTTTTTTTATTTATTTGATTTTTTTAATTTTTTCAGCTTTTTTGTCTTTTTGAAGTGTTATTTTTTTATGTTGCAATTAGCCTACTAACAATAACAGTAGTACAGATAGCGCAATAAAAACTGGCACCCTTCCAACCATTTTCACTGTTTTAGCGCGGTCAATTTCATTTGCGTTTAAGCTGCTGTAAATATCGCAATCTTGTAAAGGAGGTTTCTGGCAATTACGGAGACCCTGATGAGTGTTGCCAGTCACTCGGCGATACGTTAGTTGCCGTTTTGTGTTTGTAACAGGTGTATGTTTCTATGCGCGCTAGGCCCGATTTTTCAGTGAAAACACGTTTTTTTGAATAAACATCCTTGTGAAAGTGCAATTGATTACAATGGCCCCTATACACCTCTCACTTGCGGAAAAAGTGTGCATTATGACATTACGTGAAGAAAAAGTGAGTATTTTAAACATTTGTGAACGTACGGGGAGGGGCCGCAGGTCCATCTTGAGGGTCCTAGCAGCGCAAAAAAAGTTGACACCTGGGGAGGTGCCGAAGAGGAAAGTGGGGTCTGGGAGACCTAAAAAGACTTCAGAAATGACTGGCAAGCTTATAAAGCGTGAAGTTACCATTAATCCAAAAATTACTGCAGTCCAACTGAAAAAAAATCATCCGATGTTGCTTCAGCAGGTGTCTGTCCGTACTGTGCAGCATCGCCTGCAAAAAGACCTAGGCCTACCTTGCAGGGTCGCGGCACGTAAACCTCTTCTCAATGCCCGTATGGTGAAGCAAAGAATGGATTTTGCCTGTCGTTATCTTCATTGGAGACCTGAGCAATGGTTAAAAGTGATGTGGAGCGACGAGAGCACGTTTCAGATGTTTTCCAACCGAAGGGAAAGGGTCTGTAGGCCTAGTGGCTCTGACCCTTTTGCCCCCAAGTACACATCTAAAACTGTGAATCATCCTGAATCTGTCATGGTTTGGGGCTGTTTCAGTGGCCTTATGGTTAGAGGGGGTTTGTATTTCCTCCCAAAAAACGCCACAATGAATGGTGATCGCTACATCGAGTGTTTAAAGGATCATTTGCTGCTGCCCTATGAAATTCATGGAACATCAATTTTCATGCATGACAAGGCTCCCTGCCACATGTCCAATAAAGTGAAGAATTTCCTTGCAGAGAAGGGTTTGAGGTCCTGGAATGGTGTAGAAATAGCCCTGATCTTAATCCCACCGAGAATGCATGGAAACACATGAAGAGTAAGCTGAGAATTGCAAATTTGACATCGCTTCCAGAATTAAAAAAGGAAATCAAACGATTCTGGATTCAGGAGATGGACGTTCAATATTTTGAAAACTTAGCCAGGAGTATGCCAAATCGCCTTGAGAGGGTCCTGAAGGCAAAAGGTCAAATGACTAAGTATTAAAACAAATTTTAAGGTAATTATTTATTTTTTATTTCACCTTCATTAGGCTTTGTAGATGAATTTCACATTTTATTTTTTAGGTGCCAGTTTTTATTGCGCTTACTGTATATGGATCATAATGGATGGCTAAAAAGGGCACTTATTGCCTTCAATAATGGCCAACAGGCCAAGGTGGTGTTTACCACTGAGGGATTTTTGGGCAAACAATTATTGATAAGTCTATTCATTAGCTTTGTAAAGTTTGTATGGAGCAAGGTAATGAGCTAAATATTGACCATTTAACTGGCTTCAATATACAAAAACAAGTTTTATGTCCTATAAATCTACCAGACTCTACCCTCTATACACACCGACTAGTAGTGATTGAGTGACTGACTGCACTGTTTCCATTTAATTTAGACCAATAAACCAATACTAAACATAAACTGAGCGATAACCAAACAAACCTCATACGACTTGGAACGAAACTTAAGTTATGAGAAAAGCTAACACTGTTTGAAATGAACATGTGCACAATTCAAATATTTTATATACAGTTACTGCATTTAATTATTTTATATATAGTCTTATAATAGTAATTGTTTTGTTTCTAGTTTTAAATTCACATACGGTATTTAAAGATTGAAATTAAATATTTTAATTAGAATACTTGTAATAAGGTGGAAAATCTTTCTAATTGCCTAAAAGGTCAATACAATCTTAACCTCTCAATATACAGGGTGGGGCAGAACTGATTGAGCAGTTTTGAGGTAAAATAAAAGAATAATGGAGGTACATGAAGAAGAAAGTTTATTTCCTTAGAGGTTAGCATAACACACCATTTAGAATACTTACCTATATTTTGAAAACAATATCTGGAAGATGGGGGCCGGGGCTGTTAGCTGCAATACACTGTTGGAGTCGTTCTCAGAGGAGGGAGTATCCGTAACAATGAATTCCGATCACAAAGCTGCAATGTTGCAAAATTTCTTGCAGCCCATGATGGAAAACATTGTCGAAAATGAAGCATCTGGAGATGTGTGCTTCCAGCAGGATGGGGCTACAGCTCACACAGCCCGAATGTCACTCAATGTTTTGAAACGCATGTTCCCGGACTCTGAGGGGTGATTTACAGTGGCCTGCGAGGTCACCTGATTTGAGTATTTGCGATTTCTTTCTTTGGGGACATCTAAAAGAAAGGGGTTCAGAGTCGCCCTCACACCCTATCACAGCTAAGGGAACGGATTATTGCAGCAGAGGTTATGGCCATACCTTGCCATATGTGTGAACGTGCTGTAGGAAACTTCCCAGAACGACTCCAACAGTGTGATGCAGCTAACAAACCCCATCTTCCTGATATTGTTTTCAAAACATAAGTATTCTAAATGGTATGTTATGCTAATCTTGAGGAAAATAAACTTTCTTCTTTATGTACCTCCATTACTCTTTTATATTGCCTCAAAACTGTTCAATCAGTTCTGCCCCACCCTGTATAAGCTATCTAACACATTTAAATTGTATATTGTAATCAATATATAACAAATAGCCAAATAGTTAAAGACTACTTATAGCCTTATAAGAATTAGCTAAGCTGCTAGCTATGTACAATGTGTTGCACACTTGATGCCTCTGTACCAAAAACATTCAATTTATTGGAACCTAATACACACTAAAGGCAACAAGTTTATATACCAATTTGTCATTCATGATACATTTATACCAAACCATGAATAACAATACCTCAATATAAATTAAAGACTGCCACTCAATATATTTAAATATATGAAAAAATCAAAAAAATAAAAAAAATCATGATTTTTTATAAAAAAATCAAGTGATTTAATCACATGATTTAATCATTTTGATTTAATCATTGCCAACCCTGTGTTAGACAGAGAGTGTCTGACTTTCAGACTCTCTGTGACTCTGTTCATATTTTATTTATGTCTGAGACTGTAAAAATGGAGTATTTTATGTATTTAAAAGAGTATTTATATAATAGTAATAGAGTATTTTATGTATGTCTGAGACTGTAAATAAAATATTCTACACAATAAAAGTAGCCTCCTGCTATATTTTACCTATTTATAGGTATTACAAGGCTCAGAATGAAGCCATCATAATAACAGAAAATTTCTTAAATACCACTGCTGCGATTGAATGTACCGTAGCTTTTGTGGTAGAAAAAAACTCCATTGTGAGATCTTTAACAAGATAAGGTTTCTGTAACTTTTCACTTTTTTTAATTGAGCTTGATTTTTACTCAACAAGGCATGTGAAATATATTTATGCATGCATTGATGTTGCTATGAAAAAAGTTTTACAAAAATCTGCTACTAATTATTTATTTTGGTTCTAAATTCTCTAATTTCAGTGAAACATAAATTAAGTAGTATATATTGTTGAATTTCTTCTAGTGGAATGAAATTGTATAAAAATGTTTCTTCATAAGCAGTGCAAAAAAATGTACAATTATTCCCACATTTTTAGATATGGGGCTGTCTTGCCCTCGCTCCGCTTTCTATCATCTGGTTAGTATAATAATACCATGATAAGGTACCTTATTTAGCTTTGTTAGTAATTGATGAATGCTCTCATATGCCTGTAATTTAGCATTTCTAAGCTCCTGTCATGTTATTTTATGAATTCTTGAAAGTACGTAATTGTTATGAATAATTAATATTACTGGTGAGACTTTCAATATTTTAATTTTTTTCAGGTTGTTTTCGTTTCAGTCAGCCATGCAACAACCTTCCTCCATGGGAGCTTCCTACTGGATTTGACACTGGAATAGAAGTTTATAACTCAGCAGTAAAAACTAGGGTTTGTCCTAAACTGTACAAATTTAAATTGATGATTCATGATACAATTTTTAGGTTGGCCTTTGCCACAAATTTCATTAGATAAATTTTCTCTATGACAGAATTATTTGTAATGACTTTGAAATTTAAAAAAATAAAATGCCTAGATCTGTATTGAAATGTGTTCTTAAGTGGAAATACTATTAAGCTTTCCATCTTTTCAGCCAGTATGATGATGCCTGATGCTGAATGTATAAAAAATTTTTTGTTAATCTGCTACCAGTAATAAAAAAGATTTCTAGAATTTGTAAAGAAGTATGGAATCCATTACACACAAAGGAAAATTGCACAGTATTGAAAAAGCCAGTTATAATTGTTCTACCAATGAGTTTCAATTCAAGTATTAATCATTCGTACTGTAGAATCAGTTACGTCTTATGGAGTTACTTTTAGGCTAATATGGCCTAGTATCTGTTATCAATGACTGCAAAAACTCTTGTGTAAGTACTGATGCTGCAAGCCATTCCTACCGATGTCCACATGCCTTATTAGGGCAATATTTTACACACCATTAATGTTTTTGAATTTTCATAAAAATGTCTTATGCTTGATGTATACAGTACGTACATCTAAGTTCACAATAGAATACAAAAATTAAATAACAATGTTAGTTATTTATTTTGGAATCTGCTTTTGTACAGACTGGATCTTTAGTTGCTGCTAACAAAGCTATTTGAAATGAATAGTGGCACTAGCATCGGAGAGCAAGTCATAGAAAAATTTATTCATTATTTTATTTATGCAAAACTAATTATCTAAAGTGAAAAAAATCAGTTTAAAGTGAAGAAATCAGTTTTGGGAATTTAACTAATCCTTTAATTTTGCTGCTTGCATTTTTCACATTTGTTTGTCATTACCACAAACTAGTCATATTTTGCTGTATTTTTTAGGTGCCTCTTATAACCAAGAGACCTGGTCACCTGATGTGGTACATGTGTGGTCCAACTGTGTACGACTCAGCCCACATCGGTCATGGCCTGTAAGATTAAATAAAGCTGAGCTGAGTTAGGCTGGTTTAGGTTATTTCTGACCAGATCAATGAAAGCAAATTATTGGTGCTTGAAGTTTTGCCTTAGTTAATCTAGGTAATTTTGACTGTTGCTTTGGCCTATTATTTCCCATTGATTGAACACTAATGTTCTTTGGGTCATTGATCAGTGTAGGTTGAATGCTCATTAATGACTGTGTAAAAAATATCTAAAATAATAGATGTATATGTTTTGTTTTATTTTATTGATTTTATTGTCAAAACATATCCATCTAAATAATAGATGGATATGTTTTGTTTTGTTGTTGATATTTATTATTGCTCTACAACTAATAATCAGTTGATTTTCGCAGCTGCTATCTCCGGTTTGACATCATCCGACGTATTTTGAGAGACTATTTCCACTTAAGCGTCTTCCAGGTCATGGGAGTCACGGATATTGATGACAAAATCATCAAAAAAGCAAATTATGTGAGAATGCTGCAGAAATGTGGTTTGTATGTGTATACTATTTGCTTGTCTAGCAATATTTTTTATTTACAAAGTTTCTGTAGGTAGTCTTTCGGTTCATAAAAATACCTAAAATACCTATCACATATGATATGGAAGGTTGATGCCTTGAATTGTTTTAGATTTCAGCAACACAGGCAAAGTAAGCTTACCATGATTATATGTAATTTGAATCGACTTGTTATAAACTGTCAGAGGTATCTAGTGATGGAATAATTTAATGGCTTTTATCAATCTTATTTTGAATTAAGTAGCCTTTTCCTTCTTTTTCCATGTTCTACTAAAATTTTGAGCCTAGCAAATTATTTGTAATTGAATTTCTATGTCAAGGTAGAGTTTTTCTTGGCATTTTCACTGCACATTGATTTGTTCCAGTTTAAGAGCGATATTGGGGAAGTGAGCCGACACTTTGAGGCTGAGTTCTGGCAAGACATGTCACTGCTGGGCATCCAGAGGCCGGACAAGACCATGCGCGTCACAGAACACATTCCGCACGTCATCCAGTTCGTGCAAGACATTCTCGATGCCGGCTTTGCATACCAGGTTGCTGATGGTGAGTTGCTATCAGGTTGTTGATGGTGAGTTGCTATCAGGCTGCTGATGGTGAGTTGCTATCAGGCTGCTGATGGTGAGTTGCTATCAGGCTGCACTGATGGTGAGTTGCTATCAGGCTACTGATGGTGAGTTGCTATCAGGCTACTGATGGTGAGTTGCTATCAGGCTACTGATGGTGAGTGGCTGTCAGCATTCTGATGGACGATTTCAGTGTTCATATATCATTAAAGCTTGACCGTATACTTGCTTCAGCTGTTATATTCCTTTGCACTTTTATTTTCAAGTATTGGTAGACACGAGTCAAATATCAATGCCGTTATAAACCGATTACATATTACATATAAACATTACATATAAACCGATTAGACATATTAGTGATGCTGTCCTAATTTGATCATATTTTTTGCCCAGCTGTATAAGTTTCAAGTTGTACGTATTTATTTTGAAGTTAACTCAATGGCTGTATGACGTGACATTCATTTTCATTGCAGGTTCAGTGTTCTTCAATAACATCGCCTACAGAAAATCTAGAGGTCTTCATTTGCCTGAGGATTTTAAATGCGAGCTAAGCGCTGATGACAGCTTTGAGGCAAGCCAAACGGACGCGCAAGACCCCCACAAGCGACACCCCATCGACTTTGCGCTGTGGAAGGGAAGCAAGAAGGACGAGCCTTCATGGCCGTCGCCCTTCGGCAGGGGCAGACCTGGCTGGCACATCGAGTGCTCGGCCATGGCCAGGTTTGTGCATTCCTTCAAGAATTTACTATGTAAATTTGTTTATGTGAAAAAGATACTAAGTTTTAATGGAATCACAGTGGAAAATATTTCTAGAAGAAGTACCTTTTATCGTCATCTATTATGCAAATTTTACAATAGTCTTTATTTTTATTTTTTGCTACACTTACATTTTGCGGTTCACAAGTTCATTTTGTATTTGAATTCTAAGTTCACCGTCATCCGATTTTGTTTACATCCATATCATTTTATTATGTATATGTTCGTAACTCTTATGTAAATATTTATGCTATATTTGAAATTCGCAGTTCACCATAAAATAATTTTTGTATAAATCCGCGTATTATGGTATTATTTATTCATTTACAGCTCTGTGTTCGGAGACACACTGGACGTCCACAGCGGAGGAATAGACCTGTGGTTCCCTCATCACTACTGCGAGGAAGCTCAGTGCTGTGCTCGACACTCTAGCAACATCTGGACCAACTACTGGTGGCATTCTGGTCTCTTCAAAATTATATCTATAATAATGATTTTTATTATCAATGCAACACACTGTTCGCACATTGTGATTGATTAGACAAGTGACATGACGTGACTCGTTTCTTTGCAAATTCTCGAAGCTTCTCTGTTTTAGTTGTACACTCTGTGCGTCTAATAACTGAAGCTGATCTTGCAATAATACTGCCATTTCTATTGGTATTTTAGTTTCGCTTGTAGATCTTCTTGTACCATATTTTCTCCTGTTGTATAATTGAAAGAAAGCTCAAATCATTTTGAATTAAATTATTCCTTAGTTGATGATTTAAAATTTCCACTGAATGCTGTTTATTTGCGACTGGGCTACGATTCAATCATCTATTTTCAATATGAGTGACCTTGTTAGTCATTTGTGGTTAAAATTCTAAGTATAGATGAGTTGGTTTGTTATTTCATACAAGCAACTTATTGTTTCATTTATGTTCCACCGGCAAATCTGCTCATTCTTAACTTCAAATTTTACTCCCCCACTTTTTTGAATTGACTCCCGATAATTGAATTGACAAAAACTTTTCCTCCTCAAACATGTCTAATTTTTTCTAATTGTCTTTCTATTTCAATTTGAATTGATTGTTCAGATAACATCAGCATAATTATTTATTTCATCCTTCCCAGGACATCTGACAATCGATTGTGAAAAGATGTCGAAGAGTATAGGGAACGTTGTGAGCATCCGGGAGCTTCTGCAGACACATTCAGCCAACACCTTCCGACACTTCGCCCTCACTTCCCATTACACAAACCGTTAGTGGTGCTGGCAGCTTGGCCTCAGCTTTTGCAGTGCATGATGTGAAGTGTGTGTTATGTTCTGAAAGCCATTCAAGACCCGAGCAATGTGTTTATGAGTGTGTAAAGTTGTGCCCGACTCCATGGCTTAGGCAAGGTGTGTGTGAAGTTGCGCCAGGCTCATTTTCAACGGTTAAACCGTTACTAAATAACTAGTGCATGGCTGTAATAATTGTGGGTATAAAAAGAAACATTTCAGCTAGCGTTTTATTTTAAATATTTGAATTTACGTTTTTGTTGATATTATTTAGCTTCTTGTTTGTCTCCAATTTTAAACACCTTATGTCAAGAGCCAACATACATCCAATATTTGGTGGCAATGATATGGATTTACGAAGCCAACCCAATACTGATTTTTTCCGGCAATCTCTCTAGCCTTTCGTCAAGAAACCAATAACGGGAATTAAAACTATGTCTGTGCAAGATCGAGGCTGCAAATAATGTTGACACTCTACAATTCTGATCCCAACATTGACAGGTGATTCGTTGACGCATTTACGCTGACTTAATATTTCTGGCTGTACAGCGGTGACATATGGAGACAGTACCTTGGCTCAGGCTGCTAATCAGGTCTCCAAGATTCAAGAGATGCTGAACGCGGCTCATCATTTCCTGTCTTCCACCCCCAAAGTCGACCTCATTCGCACATCTTCGTGCGAGCAGCATCCTCTGATGCAGGTAAGAACTTTGAGCTTCCCGTAGAACTCACGATGAATTAAGAAGCCATCGCTTTAGTTGAAAGAAAAACGTTGAACCTATGTATGTGCTTTAGATTAGTACTGTAACTCTAATAAAGTTTCGTTGTTTGCAATGTGTACTTGATTATCTGGAAATGTTAATTATCATAGTCAATGTTTGGTGAAAGCCATTCAAATAAAGTGGTTCCGAATCTCTTTTTTGAGTTTCATTATCAAAAATCAAAACGCGTTGAAATTCGTCAAAAGTTCTATTGAAAGTTTTTGAGCTGTACTTGATTGGATATTTCACACATTTTTACTTACGCATACATCCGTTACATTCTATTGACCTGTTTTAACAAAATTTTCGAACAATCCTATAAAAATGTTGAGTGTCTTGCTTCTCTTCGACAGGCGTTGTTGCAGACCAAAGCGAATGTGGACGACTGCCTGAGGCATGATTTCAACACCGCAAAGGCTATGCGTTCAATTTTCGCCTTAATATCTCTTACTAACAAATATCTCTATAGGGAGTCTCTAGGGAAATTGAACTCTATCGACAGCTCTAGAGAATCTAGTGTTTCTAGTCAACTCACAAATAGTTATAATATAAATTTAGCCGCTGAAAGTGGACATTGTATGAATGAAGTTGTAGATATTTCGTTAGCCTCTTCCAAAGAATTAACTAGTACAAATCATGAAAATAGTAATGAATTGGAGCTACATTCCGTAGAAAATGAGTTAGGGCACGAGGCTGAGGCTGGGCAAGAGGCTGAGGCTGGACACGTGGAGATTGCGGCCGTCAGGAACTACGTGCTTGGCCTCATGACGCTGCTGGGCATGAACTACAAAGCCGGACATGTGAGAAGATTCAATTTAGTGCCATTTTCTTAATATTTATGTAAACCAACGCGTGATTTTCTAGCTCTTTCTCGAAAGATTAGCGTACTAATGAGAGCGTAGAAAAAGGTGTCCGTGATTCAGGTATATGGTGAATAGAATATTTGGAAAAATTCAATTCTAAAACAATCGCTCAAAAGTTGCACTTAACGATTTTAGATAGACCTTGTTTGGCTTCACACATCTTTTTATTATGAAACATTTATTATGGGCAGATGAACTGAACTATCCACATCTTTTATAATACAGATTTCAATTGATGGTCACTCATGTTTAAATAATTTGTCATCAATCAGAACTATTGTATGACTATCTCCTTATACTAGTACTTTTAAAATCCATGCTTAATATACTCTACCGTTAAAATATCTTAATTGCAAGAGCAATTCATCAGGGCAGATGCGATCAGACTCTAATTTAGTTACTACTATTTCCTTTTTAACGATTGACGATACGAAACAGGTGTATTTTTTCTTTGGATTTACCAATTTACCTTCGTTCCAGGAAGTGCAATCGAGCAAGTCTGAGAGCTTGGAAGCCTCGTCTGACTTGGAGAAGCGTTTCCCTGACGTGATGCAGGCGCTACTGACCTACCGAAACACTGTCAGGGATTTTGCTCTACTAAAGAACATCCCGGCTGGCCAGTTCGTTAGTCATAAATATATCATATAAGTGCCATGTTTTCTTGTATATTAGCTGTTTCAGTGACGCTTTGTAGTCACATCCAACACTTGCGTTGGTATTTTAAATTGTTGGCTGTTAGTAGGAATGGTTGTCGAGTTCTATCAGTCAGAATTCATCTTCAGCATTAAGAAGAATGAAATATTTTGAAGGCTTAATAAATTGTTTGATTGCTCGAATAAGAATTGTGACAATAATTTGAATCACAGAAAATGTTTTCATTAAAAACAATTCGGTGACCAGTTTCATCATCAATACCCAGATGAGATTCCTAATGGCTGCTGTTCAAAGCAATGGTAGGAATCTTTAGGCAAATAGTTGAGGCAAACTTCTACAGTTTTTGCAAGAATGATAAGAGGGATAAATTTCCGAAACCGAATTTTGGCTTTCACCTACAGTGCTGCAGATGTGAGGATTTCGATATCCATGAATTAAAGAAAAAAACTTTATACAATTTTTATAGCTCCTGCGATGAAAATTTTTAAATATCTGTATTTTTCCGTTTCTAACAATCTTAATGGTGCTGGTGATGAAGCTAGTCTCCGAAACAGTTTCAATGTGACAATAGTGAATTTCCTAAGAATTTTCTTCAACTTCTGTTAGATGAATTATTGATAATTATCAAATGTTATTCACTTTGTTGACAGAAGGCGTTGAGTAAAGAAGAGCAGAGAGCCAGGCGTCAGGAGATGGCTCCCCTGCTACAGGCTGGCGACGAGCTCAGGACGCGTCTCAACGAATGCTCCATCCTGATCAAGGTGTGAATTGTTTAAAGTTCTAATGATTATGGATCTCTATTTTTCCAAGTTTTGATAAAAAAAATCTGGAGAATAATTGCACCGTCATGTCATTTTATTCATTACTAAAATTAATCCTAAAGTGAAATTTTTTTGAGAATTAGGCGATACGATGATAACGTGTATGAGAGTTCCTACAATGTTTTGGAGTTTTCAGTTGTCAGAATGCAATGACGGGTGAAAATTATTTTTGAAAATATTATAGCTTGCTACTTACCCTCTCAATGGAACTTTATACCTGCTTACCTTTATACCTCGTTTATTGTACAAACTTGATTCGTATTTGTATGGAAAGAATTCGTATGCGAATGAACTGAACAAAAGTTGCCTTTGAATTGCAATTAATTTAGTTATGTTACTCATGTATCAGTTTCATGTGACACCTCCATGCCCGCGTGTCTCCACATGAAATTAATTATTAGTTTTCATGCTTCTTTCCTTTCATTTATTTTCTCGTTACTTATCTTTAGTATTTTTATTTAATACAGATTTATTGTGAACTGTGTGTTTCAGGATCTGAAGGAAGGCTCGAGCTGGACGTTCTCCGATCAACTCGCTGGACGAAAAGGTGAATGATGCTAACGTTGAAGCGCTCTTATTCCTACTGGTAATTGAGTGTTTGATTCTCCCTGCTTTAATTTGCGACGGACAATGAAAAGCACATGAAATGAACTATATTTGTTTGTAGTTTGAATGGTCAAGTGAAATCTTGTTGTGCTCTTGCAAAATTGAAATCATTTACCTTTCAATTATTGAAACCGATGTCATAAATTCTTTACTTTTTTCATTGATAAAAAATGCTAAAAATATAAAAGACTCTCCGCAGTTTGTTTTATTAACAAAATTATTTTCATAATCTCAAATCTTGGGCCTGCTTCTGGAGGTTATTTTTGATGCACATCAAGCATTGCATTGCCTTTAGATTTTATATTGTTTTTTTTTCAGCTGATCGAGAAACTGAGAAGAACTAAAAATTATAGCTCCGTGAGCTGAGCTGTGATTTACACTTCTTGACCTCGACACCAACGCTTGGCTGCGTATCGAGTCCTCAATCATCATTCACTGGAAATTTTGTATTTTTAGTCTTTTTAAGATATTCTTTGTAAGAACCAACGCAATATTCTGGGTTCGATTCTAATGCTTCTTAATTTCATTCATTTTTTTTTTCATGCGGTAATTCCTCATAATCTTATCACGCGGTATTATTAAAGCTGGAAAATTCCTTATGAGGAAATCATCTTGACTAATCGTCTTTAAGTTATTTCAAATAAAAGGGTGCTAGTATTGGTAACTAAGATTGTTCTTGAAAAAATTAAAATTCCAGAAATTCTACAACAAATTTCTGTGTGTCTAATGTGGTTTGGTGACTATGGGTAAGTATTTTCTTGTTGAGGTCTTCTATCGCTGTGAAGATTAAAAATTATTTAAGAGGTGTCGTTGGTGTCTAGTTTTCGTTTCCAAAATTCATGTTGTGATATATGAACGTATCTCAGTGTTGATTATTAATAGGCTTGTAGAAATTATCATGAACATTCTAAATTTTCTTATAATTTTTACTGTCCTTGAAATTCATTTGTTTGCGTGACACATACAAAGTTGGAAGATGCTTCTAGGCAGCCGAGTGGACATCTCTTCTGCACGCTGCAGGACAAGGCCCCGTTGGTTCATTAACCTCTTTGAAGCTACGGCACACTAATTTTGATGTTAATACTGTCAGCGATAATTATACAACAACCCACCAAGTCCTGGATCGACTCCTGCTGAAGGGGCTACGCTCGCTTTTCAAGCCTCTGTCACTATCAAGATTAACGTTTAGAGATCTTGCATAATTTTGTAATTGCCCTCTCATAAGAATGCCATCCAGCTAATTTGCAAGGAGAAAAACATTCTACCAAGACATTCAAATTGTTTTGCTAGTGAAGCCAGATCTCATTTTCATCCTTTCCGCTCAAAGTTTTGTGATGATTCATTTTCCAAGGGCAGTGTGTGTGACGCAATGATATAGTAACCGGATATTTTCGTATGAGCGACGTGGCTGTTTTGATCGGAAATTTTTCATATCTTGCTCGACGAACAGCACGTGGACAGAGACACAACATACTGAACATATTTAGCAGTGATTGCAATGGCACGGTAGTCGTAAAAAATACCTATCCGTATTTGTGATGTAATACTGCACAAGAAAATTATTGAAGGACGAAGATGCCTCTTCTAACTTAACGGATGTTTCCGTTTAGTTGCGGCGGGTAAGTTCCGTGTTCTAAATGAAAGTCCTTGACTACCTTTATCCATTTCTGCGGCGGATGCGACATTGCTGCCACTGTTTGTTAAACATCTTTGCCACAGCCGTGTCTTGGTAACTTTTTTCCTGATGTTCATTGATTTCGGCCATTATTGTTACATTCTAGTTTCAAGCCTGTTGATTTTTATTGAGTAATGTTTTCACGGTTTCTTGGCCTCAGTATACCGAGCAAATCTGAGCACATGATGCACGTGTCTTGAAACTGAAAATTATTTAGTTCATTTTCTAGCGTTCAATCTAAATCGGCAATTCTCGTCCTTGACCGTCTTGTGTCATTCCCAGTTAGTACTCCAACAAATGCTCGTGTGATGATAATGCGCTTGATTACAAATAAAATTCCAGCGCAGCCTCGACCAATCTTTACTAGTGAGTATTTACTTAGGTTTGGTCAGGCGGTAAGGGAGAGCCGCGATTTGTTTATCTTGTCCTCGTTATTTACTCAGAACATTTTGGATATCAATCAAACAAGGTACCAAAAAAACTAATATTTATTGTTCAGAAGAAAACGATCCTAACTGAAAGACGAGTACAAAATTATTTACAACAGAATCGAGTACACAGCGGACTCTGACCTCAGTTACAGTTCATCGCGAATAACTGGGTTAAAAGGGAATAGGAGAGAGTTCAAATCATGCCAAGTGGGAAGGAAGAATAGTTATACTGGAACGTTTCACTCGAGCACAGTAGGTTGTTACATGGTAACTTGAGGTGAACTTGGGATTTTGGGACTTGAAAAGTGATATGGTAAACTTTATCGTACGTTCGTTTCAAGTTTGATCTGAATCCGTCACACACTAGCGGAAATGGCCAATTAGCAACAGGCAAGAATTGAAGCAATGCAATTTAAAATCTACCAGTTAATCTAGGAGCCAACTATACATGCACGCGCTGTCAGAAACTAGTGCATGACGAATCAAGGAAAAATGCGCACAGGCATCAACTGAGAGAGCCTTCACTGAAAGAAGCCTGAGGTAAATTAAATTTAGGCCGACCAGAACATTACACGGGCGATCTTACTCTGGAATACGATGATAACTATGATATCGTGAGGACAACATCCAAAACGCAATGCTCCATTAACGAATCAAAACATTCGCAGAATTGGCACTCAACCTGCGACGATCGTATTGCTGATCGAGAATCAATCCCCGTATTAAATGCGGAATCAGTTATAAGAAAAATCTAAAAAGCTGTTGAGCGGGAACGTCATACAGAAAGTTCCATAAAAGGATGTGCAGTGAAACAATTAAGCCTCCCTCCTAAACTCCTATTCTACGGAACATGTAATCGATGCGTTAAAAGACCGTAAATATTTAAGTACAAAAACATGAAATTATTAAAAACGACTGACAACAAAGACAAATATAGAGATGCACTAGCACACATGAGAACATATTTTAGACTGGATCAAATTCTATTAAAAAAATCTTCTTCGAGCAACTATCAAGAGACTTGCATTTGAAACGTGCGCCACATGGAATGTTACACACCAATTACAGCGACAACATTCATCCTTGGGAATGAATCATTTCATTAAGGTCGCTTACCAATTCATACATGGAAAGAGCTAAACCAAGGTGGCTATGAGCTTAAATACAAGCGAAATAAGCCCTGTCGAAACTTGTATGAGTTTCTTTCTAGGATGTCCTTATGCTGCATTCTGACGCATCTATTTTGATGATGAAAATCCCAGCTCAACTGAGGATAATTCACATCGTATATACCGGGAGAATAATATTGATATCTTAGAAACTCTTCGAAGTTCCATGCATAAAATTAAAACGAATCAAGTGCGAAGAAGCGAAGTCTACGATGTACAGGGTTCTGCGTTTCGTACAGTATTTCGAAAAGCTTATGTTGTAACGGTAGTTTTCCTCATGATATTGATTTAAACCATTAAATAGTGCAAAAGTTCCGTTGCATTTGATAATACACACGAAGGCACTCGTGAGATTTAGAGAGCCGTCTCTTTAGGAGAATGGTGATGATCGCTGGGAAACGCCGTCTGCCTGGCTGTGGCACTACACGACCGTGCTGGTGAGCTCAAGGAATTGTGATGCTGTCTGGGGTGATGGTGGTGACCGCTGCTTCTGTGATGATGGTGGTGACGAGAAGGATGCGATGATGATGCTGAGCATGTAATGGATCTGGATGGCTTGACGTCTTGTAGTCGCCGTAACAAAGCCTGTGAACAAGAAAATAATCATGAAATAAAATTGACCTTTACATCATTGAATTGCAGTATCCCTAGATGGAAATTGCGACGCAAACTCTCTGTGGATTTCTGCATCAAATTCGTTTGTTTACTTTACTATTGTTAAGATTTAAATAACTATTGCCTAGGTATATTTTCTCTACTTATGGCAACCAATGATTGTTTCTTTGCTCTTCATCAAAGAATTTTCTCAATATGTACATAGGTAACACTTTAACTCAAATATTAAAATGAGTTTTAAAAAGAAAACAATATGAAAAAATACACATATATGATTTAGGTCACGTCAACACTCAGAACAATCGTTCAACACAACCGGCCACTGACGCATTTCCGAAGTGCGCTATCGCTAATTGCCTGAACAAAGCTGACTACTACGAACTTAAACGTATCACTGATAAGTCTTGAGGCGAGTCAACTAAGATAGTGTCAATCAAAGCTCAACAGTAATTTGAGAGCAACATTTATACTGATTAAAGGAAAATAAAGATTCTGTTAAAGAAAAATGAATAAGTAAGTATGGTATTATCCATTGTAACGTATAATATGAAAAATGAAGATGAAATTCCGGCACGAATGTTGTCATAGAAGTATTTTGAGAGCTATGTTGCATGCGGATTAGATGTACGGCGCTGGTAATAATCTGAAAACGAATACGAGAATTTTTGCATCTATAAACAGAATCGAGGCCAAGCGTGGCACGTTGGCACTTTATGCAAATAACGAGGAGACAAGAAACGCTAACTGAACCACCCGGAAAAGTCATACGCTACAACGGTCCTAGTGTGTGCTGTATTAGCCACTCTCTTCTTGTTACTCATATATCGAGTATGCATTTGCATGCTCAAAATGGCTGAACTAATAATAAAGCCTCAAAGCTCAAACAAAGCTCCTGGAGATTGAAATTGGGTGGCAATTAATTGAATAATCAAATTATGCACTCAAGCCGTGTTGCCATATCGTGTTGAACTCTAGGTAAAATGCCAGTCTCGAGGCCATTCATATGTATACGACTTCTATTAAAAAAAGAGATTTGGAGCTAGTGATTGTGCGTGATACACTACATCAATGCTTTCTGTTAATAATTAAACTTAAACGTCCATGATCCAAAACTAGATTCGGAATGATGATCAAATACTAGATAAAAATTTATACTGAAGATAACTCGACTTGAGCTTCTAAAAATTTATAATTCTTGAGATAGATCGAAATTTTATCATCAAACTTATCTTGATAATAAACTTCAAGTCGTATATATTGGCAGAAAATAGGCTGATATCGATGCGGCCTACTCAAATGAAGAACAAAACGCAAATCCGAGTTGTGGATCGGGCGGCTGCTACACCAACGCCTGAGTCATGAGCTCGCTAGCATCGATCGCTCACAGCAGCAACACGCATCGCATGACGCGCATCATATCGCGATGGCATTGAAAACAACACACGCACTGCGCATTTTTGCATGATGGCATTGAAAACAACACACGCACTACGCATTTTTGCATGATGACATTGAAAACTGCACACGCCTCGAGAGACTAAGTGTTACCAGATATAAACAATACGCACGTCAGTAACGTCACGACACTGACGACAGGACAGGCAAAATGTGGCTACACTTGCATGCACTGCGCATGATCGCATCGTCGTACGCTGATTCACCACATGGTGAAAGCGCGAATAAAGCACACATCCCACATAATATTTGAATTGGGACAACACAATGAACACATGCACCTAAAAATTCTCGCAATGTAACACCAAAAAACATCGCGCACACAGAAATCAAATTACATCTTACAATTTAAACTCGTTCGAAAATAATTTGAGTTTCACTGATCATATATAAAAGATCTTTCTCCGTTTGGAATTTCCCATGATTGAACAAAGTCAGTTAAGCGTCAAACTATGTGCTAATGTGGCAAAATATTAAAACTGATTCAATTCAGCACTCTGAATGAATTCATATAGTAAACATTAATTACAAGCTTCACTAACTTACCAAATTATCCTTCTTAATTCCGTCTTCTTGCTTGCGCCGATTGATGGAAGAATTCGACGGTTTGGAGATAGAATGTTTTACCCCGGCGTGACTGTACGGGGACTTTTCGCTCCTATTGCTTACGGCTAATAATTTTTCTAAAATAATTGAGTTATCACGATTAATTATTCTTACTTCTTCGTTTGTGAATGACATATTTTTTCGCCTAGGTATCGAGCTTTTTCTGAGGTGTCTGTGATGTGGATTGACTTGAATGGCGTTTATTTTTGAGGCGGAATCCAATGGAGGTAAATTGTGGTTGTTCAATTCTTGTAAGTTTTTATTTTTCTCGTAATCCGCTCCGTTGCTTCTAGATTCAAGCCCAATTTTCAACAGAGCTTGGACAACTAAGGACATGTCTGAGTCAACGCTGGGATCACAAGCACTTCCGTAGAAATCGTCGTTGCTGAATTCCTGTTTTGCGTACTGGTGTTGCTTATGGCTTTCCTCTTCTATTTCATCCTCGACGTCGCCTTCGTGTCCTCGATGGCTATAGTGCCGCATAAATGCTGGTTTAGCAGATGTGGCTGAGGGAAGAGTTTTTCGCGTGAGAACGGGTGAGAAGCTAAAGGGGCTTGAGCAGTTCGATACTAAGGGGGATACATCAGTGATATCGCTGTCACTGTCGCTTTCAAAGTTCTCATCATCGTCACTGTCGTCAGTATCATCAGTTTCTGATGATAAGTTTGAATTTTCACCATCCATGATGAGTCTTGCTCCTCTTTCGATCATTCTGTCGACTTGCGATGTGGGATTGTCATCATCGCTGCTATCACTGTGATCCGCATCAGTATCGCTATGATCGCTGGCCTCCCAATCATTCTCAGAAGAAAGATAAGGACTGCTAGAACGACCATAGGTGCAAATATCGGGGTTAACTCGCTCCATCTTCGTGGCCAAGTTAAGCTTTGCACAACCTACCTCGAGCTTGCCTGCAGCTACACTGACTTGCTTGTGAAGCTCACCTCCGGCTTTAATAGCACGGCTGTCTGACTCTGAGTTCCGCTGCACGTTGTTCGCTCCCTTAACTATGCGTATTTTTTTCTTCTTTGTCCCGCAAGAAATGTCCTCTAAACTAGAATTCACAATGCCTATTGCTTCACCGCTACGAGTCTTGTTCTCAGTTATGGGCGAAGGGTAAGCAGGCATGCTAGGAACAGCGAGAACAACGCTACCATCACCACCACTGCTCGCACCCGCCAAAGTCCCACCTTTGGATGATTCACTCTTGTCTATATTAAAAGAACTTTCAGTAAGCACACCTTGCGACACTGCTTCGGTCGCAGTTTGGCTTGCAATGTCAGCCATTGTGGCTTACAAGCAGTTAAATACTGCTCTCCTTTCCAGTTCGCCATTGACTTCTGGCTGAACAGTGAGCTTGAGGTGCAGCGACCGCCGCCTTCACTCGGCCACGGCCTCAACTGGCCAGCCAGTCAATGCCTTGCCATGGCTGCCGCAGCTGAGCTACCAACCGAGCTCAATCTTGATATTAAACCAAATTTGCTTGAATTTCGAAGAAATTTTCACGTTTTTTCCGCCTATGAATGAGCTCAATATTTAAAAATTCAATCCAGTAATGCTGAGTACCATGTTTACGCCAGATTAACAAACGACTTTCGAATTGACGTCATTGTATTCAAACCGAAACTCTTGACGCAATGACGACGTCACTGTTTGGAGGGCCAAGGTGCATTGTTGCCAGAAGAGTGTGGGAGGTGTGAGCACTGAGCACTGCAGCAGTTGCTTTGTCTCTCATGAAGTACGCAGCCTTCAACTCGTGCATTTCTAACTTACACGAAGAAAAATTGCGTTCGTTTCTATCTGTTGCCTTAGCAACTCAAGGTAATTAATTGTCCTCGACTCATTTGGCAGAAACAAATACTTCAAATTCCATCGACTCACTAATACTCCCTGCCTGGTCATAATAACTGATTACACCATAATAATGTTGATTTTTTTGCGGCTTTTATAGTTTTAAACCCAATAACTGTCCTACGTAAATTAATTATTGATTCTGGCCAACTAGAGAAGCGTAGAAAGCATTTCTTGTCATGTTATATGTAATATGAGTCATGTTTCCAGCTGGCTATAGCAAACAGGAAAATTAAAATTGAAAGAAATGCGCCTTCGAGAAATTTAAGTAATCAATGTGAAAGGGAATCAGAAACTTTGGGCCGTTCTTAGTATCAGAACTCAAAAACCTATTTCTCGTCCATTAGTGGTGTGCTTAGGTCGAAGAGCCATCAGTGATAGGCTGACGAAATTAGGAACTCATAAGAAATTTTGAGAGTACGGTCCCAGTCAGTTGCATTAGAAATATTACCATGTTCAAATAATTACAATTTACAATGTATAATTATTAATTACAATATATGTTAGGAGCAAACTCTCATTTAAAATATAGACGAGCAAACCCGCAGACATGCCTTCAATTCGTCTCCATAAAAAAAACGTTTATACCAGAGTACATTCAATCATCATTGCAGTGAGCTCGTATTGTTGAATTATTTAACTTTTTTCATTGAATTCAATTGCCACCTCGTCTTCATTGTTCTTCGAATAGACGCAGTAATTACCCGAAACTCGATCCACTCTCCCACGCACTCATCTTTAATTCTAGAGAGGCCTTTCATCTCAACGATGAACCTACGCGGTGCAACGCCCTCGCACGGTTATTCATTCGCGTTATATGCTTTTTTACTGCTTCAATTTACTACTTTATCTGATCTGACCGTCTAATTTAACTGTAAATAAAGTGCGCGAAATTCAACTTTGAATATTCAAAGTAGTACCATCGATGGATATCGGTGTTCGTCACGGAACAGTACAGGGCTTTAGATTTTGAATATTTTCATTATTTCAGTGTGATTCACGAGAATTTCCAGATTTTAGAGCTCAATAAAATAAAGAACTAGTAAAGATATAATTACATTATGAGTTTTATTTAAAAACACATTACCCGAATTTTTAATAATTAGGTTTTAAAGATTACATCGGACAAATGACGGCCGTCATCGTCAATGCGTTTAGTTAGTCTATTTTTGAAGTTCCGTTCAACTCGCTGAAGCATATTGCCGGGTATGTTGGCGATGGCTTGGCTCACTTGTCCGATGCATTGTGACAACTGACTAGTTGGGATACAAAACTTCGTGACATGGTCGTTCATATGAAATACCCCCCGCTCTTTTCCTACGTACAATATCTGGGCTGCTTGGCGCAGAAAACAAAACAGGAAGTTTCCGTGAATCACACTGTATGGACATGTGGATAATGCTAATCCAAAGCGGTGACTAATGCTACAATATATAATACCTGGAAACAGGATCCAAATATGACTACATTGGTCATAGCGGTCTTCATTAACGACTTTAAACCGGTTCAAACCGCCAGGTAGCTGCTTTACAAGCGTAATCTTCAATGCAATTTCGTTACCATGAAGTCGTTATATATGCCTATTGGACCCATAATCTACATTGATGTCAAAAATTTTCTAAGTCAGATATGAAGTGAATTTTTTTTGTTTATCATTGTTTATTAAGGACGTCTTACTCGAATTATGAATATTTACCAAATTTCGAAGAAAACTCGTAAAGGATGTGAAGGACGGAAATTCCGATACGTTTTGGAGGTTGAAGGCCAACAATTACGAGTCTCCCATCTGATGTATATACATTAAGGTAAATTTAAACGTGCTAACAATGCTTTAATAATTCAAAATATCTATATACTGCTTAATGATAATTATCTCTCTTCTAAGTTCCTATATCTATCATTAGTCGCACTTAAATCAAGGACGAACCTTTCAATGAATTTTCAAACTAAATTTTATTTTATTACATATGATGAACCTCGTAGTCATGAAGACACTTGCAGAAAAACATATTTCTAAATTAACTACTATTATACGCCGCTTAAAGCGTTTCGTAACACGCGAATCAAAATATAGGGTTAAGATGTCGGTTGTTGAACTAAATATTTTTGATGCACTTATAGCAGATGATGGCGCAATGTTTTGGTCATAAATGTAGTTAATGGTAACATGACCCCATAAGAGATGATGAGAGTGCAAAGCCTCATGGTTGTTGCATTGTCTCATAAACCTAAGAGTTTTTGTGAATATAAAGCGTCATAATTGTAGTCTATATAGGCTCATGAACCCTAGAGATACTGCATAAGAGTGGCTGTCCTAAGGACACACCGACATAACGAGGGCTCAAAGTCTCAAGGCTTTAGTCTTGGCACTATGTCATGCCACAATTAAGTTAGGGCAGTAGACCACTAGCATAGTCACAGATCTTCAGGGCTACGTACGAACATCACGGCATCGTCACAGATGCGCACGAACATTGCAGCGTCTTCACGGCTGCGAACGAACAGCACGGCATCGTCACAGATGCGCACGAACATTGCAGCGTCTTCACGGCTGCGTACGAACAGCACGGCATCGTCACAGATGCGCACGAACATTGCAGCGTCTTCACGGCTGCGAACGAACAGCACGGCATCGTCACAGATGCGCACGAACATTGCAGCGTCTTCACGGCTGCGTACGAACAGCACGGCATCGTCACAGATGCGCACGAACTTTGCAGCGTCTTCACGGCTGCGAACGAACAGCACGGCATCGTCACAGATGCGCACGAACATTGCAGCATCTTCACGACAGCGTTCGAACGTTCGGCACGCGAGCAGTTTAACTATAACATAAATCATCAATCAATTACTAAATTTAGGCACCAATGAACGTTCACATTGCAATTGCTCCAAGAATAACAAACAAAAATAAAATTGACTGACTAGCTTAGTGCTAAACTGATACCCGAATGTTTACGAACGGTGTACGCGCCTACTGCCTCAGCTTATGCTGCGTGCTGCTTTGAAAATTGAAATAAATAGTCGACTTTTCTTCTTGATTGCTTACGAGTTTCTTATTTGCAATGAAGCGTGTGGCCCAGGTTGATGTCGGAGTTAAGCGCACCCTATTTCTATGTACAGTTTAATATTATCTACAACGCAGTAGCGATTTAAGCTCTTAGTACAACGAGTCCTTTGCTCTCTTATGAGGAATGCGGTGAGCAAAGCACGACAAGCGGGATTTAGATGCAATAAACATATACTTCCCTGAATTCACGTGAAAAAACTAGCACCTACGAAGCAAGTGAGTACAGGTGCATGGATGTATGAACCTAAATTATATACAAATTAATAAATGCCACCAAAAAACAGGTCCTTGATTCCTTCTTGTCCAGCTTCATTAATAGAACTGCCTCTCCGTTCATAAAACAATTACGTTGCAAAATATTGTTGTTAATGAATGCTTTGTAACTGCACAAATCAAATGTTTGTTTTTAAACATAATTGCACGTTTTCTCTGCCACTTTGCAAACTATTTAGTCTGCTGAGAGAATGACGTAGACAGCGTGTCGTTCTAGTGTCAAGAGTACTGTGTTTTCTATTTAACTTCCGGAAATCTTTTAAACTTTGAGGTTGATTTAAAATTGAGATATCATCATCACGTATATTTTTGCCAGCTTCATTTTTGAGCCACTTGTATTTTTTAACGATTAGTGTTCAGTAACTTAACATATCATAATTATAGGTACTCATTTAGTTACCGCATTAAAAGTTCTCAGAGTCCCATGTTTTAATGGCTGTTTCAATTATTTTATTAAAGAAAATGTCCAATTTTTATATAAAAAAGATATCCATTGAATCAAAAATTACCGCGCAGAGAACGCGTACAGCTGATTTTGTTATCGCTGGTTTACGGCATGAACTGATCTCATTATTTAGGGTGCGTTACACTGGCCGCAATCAACACAGGGGCCTTCGTAAGAGCCAGTTAAAAGAGAAGGGATTAAAAGCATTTATTCGATTTAGGACAAGGCTTTTGTTGCATAAACAACAGATTCTTAATTCCTGACGCGGGGTGATTAACTTCACTGCCACCTAGGCATTACTATCACCTAAAATACCTATATGCTTTGATAGCATTCCTGGGAGCAAAGTTACAAGTAGGTAATTTCGTTTAACACATTTGAGGTAAACATTACAGCTTCAAAATAGAGGTCCATATTTCATTTCGATCTTGGACACTACAATTGATTATTCATTTTGTAAACTTTCATTAGAGTAACGCAGTGGAAGATTCCATTACAGTTTCATATCAAAGATGCGCGCTGAATGTTAATGTATAAGTCAATACTGATGCTATTCATTAACATATTCACATATTCAAGTCAATACTGATGCTCCACTCTGTATGATAGGTTGAACTGCTGGTTCTGGTTGTAAAAATATTTCGTCCTTCAGAGATGTCCCATTCCAGAATGTGTATAGGCTGGGAAAGGTAGAGTAAATTTTGTACACTATACCAAACCATACCTTTGACTATACAAAAATATACTTTAAACTATATACATTGGAATTCATAAATACCAAGCGTGAATTTGGGGGCAAGGCAATTAACACGGCGGTTATATCACAAAATATAAAATTACCGCGCGCAATCAATGCTTTGATAGTCAGAGTTCGTTCCACTCCATAAAGGCAGGCACATTGGCCTGCAATCAAGGTTATTGCGGGGCTTTTCCTATAAATATAAATGCGTTGTTTATTGCTTATTTTGATAATGTTTATGAGTGTTAATGCGTATCTTACTACTGGACCGAGGTGAAATTATTGCGACATCTTCGGTAACTGACCAATAGCAACTTATTGTCATCGAAGTTGGTTTAAAATTACTTCAATTGATATTGAGATGGTTGGCAACCAGTAAGGAAATGTCAAATGCCACTATATGGGCTTGTACAGTTTCTAGTGCGGTTTGATTTTGAAAACTAATCTAATGTTCAACCACAAATCGTGGTATTATAAAAACTTGTTAACCGCAGCCCCTTGCACTTAAGCTCCTCCCTCCAGAGAGCCATCGGGAAATTCCCTCAATGAGTTTAAACCTCAACGCGCTGCTTTTTCCTAAAAAATTTCTTGGTACAGTCCGATTCGATTTGTCAACGTCCTTTGATTTTTTCCGTTACTCCACTTTCCAAGTTATTTACCTCCTAAAGAGCGTGCATGTCGAGCGGCGCTATAAGACCGATAAAAGTCATTTACAACCGAGAAATGAAACTGTTATACATGTGTGCAGTTTTTAATGCAAGTGATGTTATTTACAAATGGCTTTTATGCAACTGATAGTATATCGTTACTTTTTTTATTTTTTCTAGACCGAGCATTGCTGGAATAACTGACTATTATATCTATCACGGTGTCTTTTTATTACGAGAATCGGCATAATGTCGAAATTGTCCAAAAATATTTAAATTTGCAAACGAGATTTTTTTAATCATGAGGAAGCAAACGCAAGCAAATCACTTCGTACGCAGCTTATGTTCCATGTCTTCTGAAAAGATTTTTCGCCACGTAAAATGAATAACGTTCTTATGAAGATCCCCGATGAAGACATGAAGATTTGGCGCAATGTTTTTCAATTTCTTCTCTGCATTCCATGTTGCCTTAAATTCACTTTGTATGAACTACTCAATAAAGCACAAGCTTCCGTATATTGGATTGGAACATTAATGTACGATTCTTAATGCGGGTCTGGCTAATTTATATCAGTTCGTTAATTTCGGAATGTACTTTTGTTATCAAGCGTGAGTATATAATTGTTACCAGACTGTATGATATACGAGATACGCACCTGCTTTTTGACATCAGTAGCACCAGCTTGCTTGAAGTTATAAGCTCATTGAAAAAGTTTATTGTTCACTGAAAAATTATATTGAATGTGTGCAAGTTAACTGTAATGAGGAGACTGCATGGGAATATGCAGTGCATTTGCCAAGCCGTTACACGTGACAGCCTCGCATTGCGACCTTCATTTACCTCGTATCAAGGTTGTAGGTACATGTGCATTTTCGTACTAGATGAGCGCATTTAAATCATATTTTACGATGATTGTACGTTCATTTATGGCTGTAAATTGTAGCAGTATGCAATTTGCAATTACGAACTTCCTCAAAAAGCATAGGTAATTTGCTAGCATAGGTAGGAAATATCTTAGGGAAATAAAATTGACAAGGTAGATTAAGTAGAACTTATTCCGGGATGAAGCAATCGCAAAATCATCACCGGACTCCTTTACTTGGTCCTTGACTTTATACTCCACTATTCCTCCTCATGTTACGATCACCGTAAGATCGTTGCGGTATAGTGTGATGCTAAGAACACAAGGTTGGGCCCTCGCCGCGCATAGTTTACAAGGTCGTCGGTTCGTCGCCTGCCAAGTTGAGATCAAAGTCTGCACTCGCCGACAAAACCGGCACCGAAAGTGCCATCGCAAGTTACGACTTATGCTCAAAACAAGTGACGTTTGCATAGCTTAAAAAATGCTATGTGCTGCACAACATGCTTGCTGACGTTCGCACCTACTGTAAATTGTACATTAAAAGGCTTGCTGGCGTTCGTACCTACACTCTGTATGTGCTGTAAAAAGGCACAATTTTACGTTACTTCACATTGGAAAAATTTTTTGGAAAGAAAACGCGAACTCCTATTTGTTTTGAGCGCTCCTATTAAGGGCTAAGTAAGGTTGCAATATACTTAATCTCTCAACAAATTATATGTATTTCGCCTTGAGCGGATTCTCAGTATATGAAGCCATTATGTTCTGTATCTATTTGATATAATCTATCTATCCGCCGACACGTGACTCCTACAAACTCATCGAAATAAGTTGGGGTTAGGCACGCAATTTATCGCTCACATTGCATCGTGGTCGCACACGTGCCTCAGGATGAGAGCGCATCACGTTTTTCCTTTGCTGAATAAATTAATAAATTTGATTTGGCTTTAGGCGTACGTTTTTAGGAGCAAACCAGGCCAGAGAAGTTAGGATAAAGGATGTTAATTTAAACACTTTATTCTAAATTTCCGAGCTCATGATTGTTCCAATGATGTTATTCATTGCAGGCTCAACGAAGATCTATTCAATTTTTATCTTGACTAATTTATTAAAAAATGATCAGTTTAACCTGACGTTTTCCGGAGGAGGTGTTAGCTGGGATGGCATACATGGCACTCAGCTTGAATATAACTCGAATTTTATAAGTAGAATAAAGTGTGATGGTGCCTATAATATAGGAGGCTAAGAGGGTGTCGAGTGATGCTCAAAATACGCACACCCGCAAAAAAAAAACGAAGAAAGTACTGAAGTTGGGTTTTTGCATAAGTATATAGGCTCATTATATAGTTATGCAAACGGATATTAAGCTATAGTTCGCAAGTGATTTTACGCGAACAAAACAATTGTGTGATTTTCGGTTATTGTGTACACGCAATAACAGTTGAATTGTGATGGGATGTTTTTAAAGCTGAAATTTTTTCTTACCCGAACACTAACACCATTTATAATTTTTCTTCCGCAAAAAGGCATGTTAAAACATAACTGTTTCACCTATAACAGGTATAATTAACAGGAAGTGGCCAAATTGTTCTTGGAGAGGAGTGTGACAAATTAATGCAAGTTTCAGTCGTTCAATTCTCGTTTTATGTGACACATTGTTTTTTAAATAAATATCGAATAAATTACTGATTACAAGTAGTTTGGTATTGCTATCAACAGCTTTTTCTGCAAATGTTTGAGC